TATATAGAAGTAAGCTAAAACTGTAAGCTAGACGATGGGATGTGATGTGGAAGAGTTGAATTGGTTGGTATGCATTTGTTAATGTTCGTCTTCTATTTGTCATATGTTGTTGTCAGCACGTACAATAGTGATGGCTGGTAATGAAGGCAGGCGTACCGCTGCACACAGACAACAGCAGCCAGCGGCAAAGCTAGCAGACAAACACGATCAATTAGCCACTCGAGCAATGAATTGCATAAAGATGAAGTTTTATTTTGATTAGTTACTGAAAAGAATGTGATAAATTATTCACTGATTAAGCTTGTTAAAATATTTAAATGGACACATAAATGGGTGAAGAAATAAATCTATACAATAGGTGTTTTGGAAGTAATAGTTTGGTTAGGTTGCTGTTGCAACTAGCTGGATGAATGGATAGATGTACTGATAAACGGATAATGATGATGATATAAGTAGATCTATCATCTCTAGTTGTTTCAGTTAGCTGAATGTTTGGGCCTTTGCTTACGCTGGTGTTCTTTCTTACATATTATACTAGTATTATTTGTATTTGAACTGCATTTATGTTGTTGGAAGTATATGATAGAAGGCATAAGATGCTTTTGCTGTGGCTGCTATACAATAAATAAGCATCTTTTAGCTGCTTGTTCTCTCGTTTCTAACATATTAATTACTATTGTTGTTGTTGTTAGACTGTACCGCTGTGATACACTAACAAATAAACAAATAAGTATAAACGACGGAATAAACATACACACAAATAGTATTCTTTCGTTCTGAAATAGAATTTAACTTTTCAACACTGCGATACCAGCCTAAAGCGACACCTTACATCTGAAACCATTCATGTATCCAGCTATCTATTAATCTAAACTTGTTAGCCATTGATCAGTTAACAAATCTCAAAATCTATTCATTCACAATTGATTATTGTTATCAATATAGGTATTATTATTATTACTGCTTATCACTTCGTTTTGTTGACGTTTGAGCAGTTCGATGATGTGATGTATGCATGATACAAAATTGTGCACATACAATACGTCCATACACACCTGCATGCATACACACGTACATCTATGATGTATGTTATAAAACTACAACTGATTGTGCAGCACAACCAACTGGCTGGTTGGTTATGTTATCGTTCTATCCACTTTTGTCAGAGACTTCTGATGGAATGTTGAGCAGTTGCATTAAAACTGAATAAATGATTAAAGAAAAGAGTGAATTAAGAAAAGAGAACTGACGACAGTAAGTGGTGCCCTTAAAGGCGACTGACAATTATTTGTTGTTGCTTTTGCTATAGCAGCATTCATTGGTATTGTGGAGAAATTGAAATTTATATGAGAGGGTGTACGCATAAGTCATAAGCTTCATAGGTGCTATTGTAATAGGTTTGATGTGACAACGACTGTGTAGAGCTATGCGTATGCTGTAAATAAATGCATGCAATTGCATTGTGTGTGCTTTTGCTATACAACTAAACCGAATAAGCAAACAAATAATAATTCCTTCTTGATGCATTTCTTTCCAGTAACAGTTTTCACTGGTCTTGTGCTCTTCTCTGCAATCAGTTGGTTGGTCGCTTGCTTGCTTGTTCGCTTGCTCGCTACTGTCTGCCAGCCGTATCGCCTAGCCGACCGACCCATCAACTGCATCATCAAAAAAATTTTCCAACTGGAAAATTCATTCATTTCATTCGTTCAACAACATTTTTCTGTCAGTCGGCGATATACGCACATTCATTCATAGGCATCTATGTTTGCATACGTTATACAATAAGGGAACAGTGGGAACATTGAAAAATTCATGAAAATTTTCAATAAAAATCGCGATAAAAACAAACTGTGCACGAGGAAATAGTCATCGACTTATTTAAGTAATGCTAGATGTCTTCTATCAGTTTGCATCACAATCTGAACATGAATCGTACAACTGATCACCTCACGCGTTCAGTCTCGATGATCAATTTCACAAATGGATACACATCAGATGGCATAAGGCAACAACCTCTATCATCTAATTCAGTTTTCTAAAATGTAACATTTCAACGAAAACTTCTTCCTTTCAAGCACCCAATCAGTCAATTCATATTCATTTACTAAGCACATTATTCACACCCATCCATCCATTATAGTGCAATAAGAATATGAAACACACGTGTCGTATGACCTTGGACTATAACTAAGCAACTATTGAACAGTATTCTTGTTTGTTAGTTGAGCATAGGAAAGTAGGCACTAGTGATGGCTGTTATTGTTGTAGAAGAATATAAATAAGGAATTGGTAGGTAGGTGTTCCTGTCGAATGGTTAGTTAAATAAGATCGATGGATGTGCGCCGTTGATTTTAGTGGTTCGTTCATCATTTACAACCATTTAATTCACCCCTTATCTAACGGAACAAGAACGCACCATACGCATTTCTAACCTTCGTTGCTGTTAATGAACAAACGATAAATAATTATTGTTATACTGAATAACTTCTAGGGTAGTAGTTCTGTATTTTTGTTGTTTGTTTGTACAAATTCAAATATATATCTTTGCAATGACCATGTAGCAGTAGTTTGGTATAATTTGAATATTATGCATATCTGTTTTGTTTGCTTATGCAAAAAAAAATCGTATGCCAAACAAGTGGATGAATTGATGGATCTGTAAAGGAATTTGCATAATTTGACCACTCATTACGATTGCGTCAGTTGATCTAATATGAGCTTTTTGCGTATCTCCTTCAAATGGCTCCGAATGTGGCGTTAAAATATCGACAATTATTCATGTTATTGAATACATACGTTACAGTTTGTTTTATTTTTCAGGAAAATTGCTTGATTCGGTGGAAGTTAAAAGGACCCCTAAGTTTTTTTGCCAGTTTTCGGAT